TCTCACATAATAAGGAGGGGGTGTTCATACGAATAAAATCCTGGCCTAACCGCTATAAACTAAACCTAATCAACAACTCGATCGTGGATCGGTTTCCTAACCGAACGAAACTAACCCTACCTCTCTAACAACTAACTGTATCTAGCTAGCTAGAACTACCCCAAACCCGATTTCTAACCAGAATGTAACCACTTCTCATTGGAGGACACACCATGCATGAACAAGTGGCCTACCAAGGAGCAATTACTTCTGTTCCATATCTCTCACGTTGCTGTGGATGCTCATTATAGCAAACAATAGTAATGGCGGGTCGATATCAGAATGATAAATAATGTAACACTAGCCAATGTCCCAAACAACATAGATGTAGCCTCGTGGCACCATTTAGTTCTGTAGCTTCACCTACCTAATTACCCTTAATTAGTCTTATGGTGGGGTAATTAATTAAGCGATTAGGCCAACTTGCATGGATTGGATGGCGTAGAAAACAGATTAAAACCCATATATTAAGGGTTTGCTGCCTCTGAGGGATCAGACATTAACCCAACATAACAACACAAAACATGGCTTGGCCATTAGTTTGGAGATCACTTCTTTTTATATACTTGTTCTTATTAGCACCTACCTAATTACTAAATTAGTTTATTGATCTAGATCTAATTGGTTCCTCCAAAAGGGTAGATAATGCCACAGAGCCATACGCAATATGGTGCTTCTTTTGTCGGGCTAAGCTCTTTGCTAGCCAGAGTGCTCGTGCCTAATATCCAATATTATAGATATGATTAAGCGCCATTAATAGTTGACTTTTGAGCTGTACATGGTAACGAAAAGGTGTTTCCCTTTGCTCTTTTCGGGTAATGATGATGGACTGATTTAATTAACATCCACTAATGAGCACCAAAGCTGAATGAGGGCGAGGCTTCTTTTAGGGTTACATTTTGTATATTATTATTATTATTAGTTGTTAGTAGATAATCAAGTTGATCATAATCAATTAAGTATGTTTATATTAATTGAACGTACGTAGAACATATAAACATTCAAGCTCTTTTTTTTTTTTATAGCTAGGAATAGAAATATTCAAGTTCTTTTTACTATTATTTGATAACCTCTCAGTTTGGATGATTTAAGGACGGAAAATTTGGTTTGCTTATCACAATTCATTTTGAATTGAAGTTTTGAATGTACTTGGAGGAAATATGAATCATCATACATAGGATAATTTGAGTGCATTCGTTAACAATTTGAATTTGGACAATGCAAGATGGATGATTGGAAGATTTTGAAGCGCTATGGTATGCAAAATGCACATCATGAAATGAGTGTAGAGGTGGCAAATAGGATCCAAATCCATGAATTCAATCCAATCCATCCACCAAATTATCCACCTAATCCAATCCATTTAAATCCAATTCATTTGATCCAAATCCAATTGGATTGGTGGATTCATGGATCAATCCATGGATCAAATGACAAATTACGATTTGGTACCTATATTTTCTATATTTTACATTTTGATACCTAAAATTTATATTTTTATACGAAAAATATCATTGGAAAATTACATTTTGGTACCTAAAATTTTTCATTATGACATTTTGGTACCAAAACTTTTCAAATTTTACATTTTGGTCCAAGCCTTGGATGTCATTTGGATTCATGGATCAATCCACCAATCCATGAATCCACCAATCCATTGGATCCAATCCATTTGAGCCATGGATCCACCAATCCAATCCACCAATCCACTAATCCGATCCAATTGCCACGTCTAAATGAGTGTATGTAACTCTACACAAGTTTTTTTTCCCCTAGAGACATTAACTCTTTATATGTGTTTTTTTTTTTTTTTTTTTTGCGTACAGGGAGGCATTACGCCAAAGAAAGAAAGGGAAGGGAGGGGTTACAGGGGGGAGAGTCGGTGGAAGGAATGATAAGTCTAGCAGAAGTGACGCCCAAAGCATCATCCTGAAGCAGCTGAAGCAACTCATTAGGAGGTGTCTCTAGTTCATGTGTACCGTAGGGATAGACAAGACTGTGCTTCGAGAGCCAGTCCGCGACTCTATTCCCTTCCCGGTATACATGGACTAAATTCACAATCCAATCCTGAGCTAAAAGACGTCTGATGGCCATTAAGAGCGCTGCATAGGGGTGTAAAGGGTCTGACCTATCTTTCACAAGTTGAATTGCAAGCTGAGAATCGGTTTCAACGATGAGGGTCCTGCACTCGTGTCTCCAGGCCAACTTGAGACCATGAAAAATGGCCCACAGTTCTGAACAAATGGCTGAACAAGAGCCCACCCCAGCCACAAAACCACTTACCCAGTTGCTGTCGGCGTCTCTCAACACACCACCTGCACCAGCGACTCCTGAATTAGTACTCGCCGCCCCGTCCACATTAAGCTTCGACCAGCCAACTGGAGGTGGCTTCCATCCGACCTGTGCTTCAATGCGACTCCGGGTGGAATTCCTTCGCCCCATCAGCGGGCTCGGCGCATTCCAAGCCTTCCACCACAGCTCGGCCCGAATCTTTACAGCATGCAAGAGAGAAGGGGCAGACAGGGTCTTGTTTACTCCATGAAAAGAACCCTCATTCCGGTTCTTCCACATGCTCCAAATGGCAATGCTAAAAAACACATTCCAAGGGAGGCCTGAAGGGGAGGGCTCTTCGCATTTGATATTGGTCTCCACCCAGCTGCCCCAGTTGTGACTGAAGAAGCTTTGAAGCTTATCCGGATGAAAGGTGCGGGTCCAGACATAAGCTGCCGGGGGGCAGTCTCTAAACAGGTGCAGCGGCGTCTCCGTAAGAGTGGGGCATCTGTAGCAGGAGGAGTCGTGAACAAGGTGCCTCCTAACTCTTTCCTCATTCGAGCTTATTCTCCCTTGCGCCACTAACCACATGAATCATCGCACACGTTCTGGCACAGCAAGGCTCCAAATCCTCTTCCAAAGCTGATGGTTATTATCATCGATAGTGTTTTGAAGCAACTGGTAGGCACTCTTGGTAGAGAATCTTCCGTTTGACGTAGGCTGCCACAACAGAGTGTCTTCTTCCGTTGAGAGAGGGTCCACCACCCGCGCCGTGATCTGCCTCACGATGTCCGACGGGAGAATGTGGTCAAACTTCTCCGTCTTCCAGTTCCCGTCCTCGTCCATGAACTCCTCGACACGAAGCTCTCGCTCCTCCTCCGGTATCTGGCTTGTTGCAAGTTCCTGAAGGGGTACCTGCGTTAACCAGACATCAGACCAGAAGTTATTACGATTACCTCTATGTATATTCCATGCGCAACCCTTCCTAAGCAGATTCCCAGCCTTAGAGAGGCTAGACCAGGTAAAGGAACTTCCCTGAACAGGCCTCAAAAGGTTGAGATGAGTTTGGTCTTTCCCATATTTCGATCGAACCAACTGAGTCCAGAGAGTCTCTTTCTCTTTGATTACCCGCCATCCGCCCTTAGCCAGCATGGCTAGATTAACCTCTCTCGTCGATCTAATGCCCAGCCCTCCATTCTGCTTTGGAGCCAACAACCGATGCCAGGGAACTAGGTGGAGCTTCTTCTTCTCATCAGTGTCCCCCCAGATGAAGCTCCTATTAAATCGATCAAGGGACCTGCAAACATTCATCGGGAGCATTTCTGTTTGCATAGGGTAAATTGGAATAGAGGCAGAAATAGATTTGACCACCGTGATCCGAGCCGCGAGCGAAAGGTGTTTGGTCTTCCAGGGAGCAAGCTTCTGTTGGATCCGCAACATCAGGTCCTGGTATCTGGACCTAGTGACCTGGCCATGGATAGCCATAACCCCAAGATAACGCCCGAGGTCCACCGTGAGCGGGATGCCTGCCCGCTGCGACAGTCCTCTCGCTTTCCGCCTGTCGATGTTGGCCGAGACAAAAATTGCCGACTTCTCATAGTTGACTCTCTGACCGGAGCTCTGGCAAAATTCATCCAAGCATCGCTTAATTATCCGCACCTGATTCCCCTCTGCTTCTGCAAAAAGAACAAGATTATCTGCAAAAAACAAGTGAGAAATCAAAGCCCCCCCCCCCCCCCAAGAAAGCCTCAGAGGCTTCCAGAGCTTATCCTGAATAGCTTGATCGATCCTGTGAGAGAGTCTTTCCATGCACAAAACGAAAAGGTAGGGAGAAAGAGGGTCTCCCTGGCGGACTCCTCTGGTGGGAGTGATAGGCTCAGAGAGTTCATCGTTCCAAAGCAGCCGCATTTTATTACTCTCAACACAGAACATGATGCAATTGATCCACGAACTGGGCAGGCCCACTTCCTTCAAGGTATCCCTGAGAAAATCCCATCTCAACCTATCATAGGCTTTCTCAAGGTCAATCTTGAGCACAATGCCACCTTTCTTGCCTTTCTTCTTTCTAAGAGAGTGAAGAACTTCCTGCAAAACAATAATGTTGTCAGTAGTCTGTCTACCAGGAATGAAGCTGCTCTGCCTCGGCGAAACAATTTTCCTCATGATCGGCTTCAGGCGATTGGTGATGGCTTTATATGTGTTCTTATACGATATTAAAATAGTAGTCAATCAAAATGCTGTAAATACTAGATAAACTCTTGTGGACAATTTGCATTGAATAACGCGATGAACAATGTATCTACAAGTAAGAATGTGAATGTTTGCACTTCTTTCTCTTTCGGGTTTTTATCTCTACATCAGGAGGCTAACTAGGAGCACTTCTACCATGCTATATAGCATTGGTGCTTTAATGTACAACTCAAAGTTGTACCATAACATTAAATGTATAAGTTTAGGTTGTACCATAAAGCAATTTGTACAATTATGTTATGGTACAACTTTACAACTTGAAGTTGTACCATCACATAAATGTAGAAGTTCAAGTTATACCATAGAAGAATTTGTACAAAAAGTATAGGTACAATCTAGAGTTGTACCATAACGTAAATGCACAATTTTAAGTTATACCATAAAGGCAAAAACCTATAGCACTAATACTATATAGCATTGTAAAATTTCTCGGCTAACTAGGTCCTACTAAAATCTAAACTAATAAGATCCATCAAACAACGACTTAATTGACTGGTGGTATTATCGTTAGACTTCAACACGAAAGTTCCTGATTCGATCTTTTAAATAACACTTTAACAATAAAAACAAAACTAATATCACCGTCGTCTGAAAAAAAACCCTAATAAGATCCAACACATTCTACTGCTTGAGGCAGGGGGGGTTGTTGTCTCTCGATCAGCAACTGGGCGACGGTGATCACATGGAAGCCCGACCGGCCGGATTAGGCGTTTCTTCTTGCAAGGGTACAGTGGTCGGGGCCCCAAGTGTGTATTCTTTGCCGGGAAAAGCCCACGCCGGACCTCGTGATCTTGCCCACTTCACCTTCCGGACTTGCCACGTCAGACCACAGATGTGGACGTCCACGTGGAAGGGAGGCGGCAGATCCGCCATGTCAATCACGATGGTGAAAAGAAAGTCTCTCTCTCTAAGGGTAGCCTTCTCAAGCGTTGTCTGTCACATCATCTCATTACAAACTACTACTGCCTACGCGGCCGACACGTCGGACCCATGCACCCCCGCCTTGTCACCCTCCACCGGCGCTGACGTGCATGTGGTTTTCCTTCCATTTAAATTCACTAGCTAGTTAGTTAGCTTGTATTCAATTCCACAACCGATCCTAGCTAGCTAGATTGCATTTTTGTATATAACCAACACTTTCTTTGTATTTCATGCTTCGGTTATGGGTAGGGATGACAATAGAAGTCGAATTTGAGGTCGTATCGACATGAAATACATGAATAAGATTGTAGGATATACAACATTTTATATTTATAAGAAATACGATTAAATTGTTGACTTGTCCTTAGTTCTTTTGAGGCACGACAGTTTCGGCTATTAAACATGTGTCTGCTTATGGTTATGCTCAACATGATCGCCAATTAGATGGCGAACATATATATCGGCTTGCTTTCATGTGGGTTTTGTTGACTATATATTTTATGGAATATTCGAACCGATGAATTATCTCGTCATGAAAATACATGATTGTATGATGATAAAGGAAAATTAAACACAACTTACCACATTATCCAAGATGCATGCGGTCGTCCCATCTCTTTCACATTAATCCTGCCATATACAGTTCATTCGTGAAAACGTGCTCAGAGGATTGGACGTCATCAGAGAGCGTGTTATGCGCTTTGTGGTGTTGGATGTGGACAAAACTGTCATCATGTTCATCCAATGATCACAGAGTACCCAACACATGATCTGACGACGCCTAATCGTTATGAGCATGTACGTTCTCACATATATATGTAGACATTTGTGAGCATTTAACAAAATTGGGAAAGTAGCCATCATCGCCAAAAATTGCTGCACTATATAACAATAATGCAGAATAGAAAATGATAAAAAAAAATGAAGTGATGGTGATCAATGACTAGAAATGGAAACCCTTTGCGATTGTGGCCAGTCGTTCTTGATTAATCATGGCTAGACGATAGGAAAAGAGACCGAAGGGCAGTTGGAGTTGACAAGCCAAAGAACGTACGTAGAAGAAAAACTGTCTAGTTATATTTATATGGTGTGAAACTACAACACATGCTTCGATCCCACAGGAGATGTCTCCTTTCACTCATTGAGTTTGGTGAATGTATAGTTCTTTTCTTGAATAACATCTACAAACTTCTATAAGGTCTTCTTAAAGTACATATTATGAGGTGTCAAAACTCAGGAATAGGAAATAGTTATGGCATGTATTGATCCAAAATAAACATTGCCCAATATTACGAAATTAAAGTTCGAACAAATTTTTTTACATACAACATGAAATGATAGTGGAACAATATGATCTTAAGTCGCTGCATATTCTTCCAGCCTTTCAATGCACTTTGCACGAACATGTAGTTTTAGTTTGAAAGTTTTGCTTGCTAGTCGCAATCACAATTGATCATTGGACAGGGGTGTGCCGCAACACAATTAATCAGTGACTAGAGTCAATGAGTAAGTGATTATAAATTTATAACATGTCAATCTAGCTATATGCCCTAATGGCTCAATGATTAACAACTCAATTCCTTGGACAAAAGATTCATGGCCTGCCAAGCTGTGATGTTCCCCAATTGAGACATAAGGGAAGAACAAACCAAAGTGGGGATTCATGGAAACCCTAAATTAAAGAAATACAAAAAAAAAATATTTGGTTGAAAGAGGAAACAAAGAATCCCCTTCATCCCTCCCTTTGCTTATTTTGTGGGACCTCTCTCCTTTATTCAAATTCCACTCTTTTTTGTGTATTTAAAGCAAGCCCAACTCCCACTCCTTAGCTCCCACACCTCTTCATCTCTCAAAGCTTGCAACTTGCAAATATAGAGTTCATCAAGAGATAGATAGATTTCAAACCCATTTTCCCTTTTTTGATTTTGAACCCTTTTGCCATAGAAGCACACACATACCAAAAGCCTCAAATGAAGCTTGCTTTGGTTGTCTCTCTTCTACTTCTTCTACCCTTCTTCCTTCAAAAAGCTCAAGGTAATCAATCTCATATTGCTGCACTTATATTTAACCACTTATATCTTAATGTGCATCCCACGATCGACAAGATGAAATTTTTGTGTTCTAACAAGTTGTTTCTTGTGCTTATGTTATATAGGGATTCGACCCGAGAAGGGATTTCTTGATCAACATCTGAAATCTGATAAGCTAGTGGTGGTGGAGAAGAAGAGCTCATCATCACCATCAATGGAGGAAAGAAGTAGTCCTAATGATCATGATAGCAATGGAAGCGTACTAGTAGTGGGAGAAGATGGAGTAGTGGTGTGCAAAGAAGGGCAGGAATGTAAAAATACAGGTATTGATGAGATGAAGACAAGAACATCAGTTACAAAGAGACCATCATCTTCTCCCTCGCATCATTGGCTTCATGAAGATTACTATGGACCCAGAAATCACAGACCTAAACACCATTGACGAGCATCTTATTAGCTACCTTAATTAGCTCTTTTGGCTAGTACTTAATTAACCCCTTAATTAGAATGACTCATTTCGTCAAATCAAATCTCCCCCACCACCTCTCTTTCTAGTTAGATCTATTTTTCCCCAATTGCTTGATCGTCAACTCGAAAGTCATATAGTTGAGCTAGCTAGCTAGTATTTGAAGCTCGCAAATGTACTAGAGACATGAATCCATAAAAAGAGAGGAAAATTCGAATCTCTTGATCGTGAAAAAGATCCACACACAGTTATTTTTCATATGATTGTTTTTTTATACATGTTTCCAATTCAATTTTTCGTAGTGATTGTTGCTTTAAAACGATTCTTTTTTTTTTTTTTTTACGTAGGCTACGACGGTATTATGAACGATGGAGAGCTCGTCAACCATGGCACCGATTCCACAAGTATAGGTGCCTCAAAGGTTGGTGAACAATAGCACTATTTCTGAGTACTACTTAACTTTGTAATCTTATGTATGCATGTACGGCAAATTACTTAAAGTGGGTTTATGATGAGTAAACATATGATTAACGTTGTATTTATCTTTGTTTCATTCTATAGAAAGATGAAGGCAAAGATGGCGACACCACGACCACCACCGGAGAAAGAGGCCACGATGGTGGCCCGGCGAAGAAGTTTCTGTCGGAAGCCCATTCCGATAGCAACCACGGCCATCATAATGAAGAGAATGTTAATGGCGAAGGCTACATGGATATGATGGATGTAGCTGAAATGGACTACTCAACGGCTCGAAGAAAACCTCCAATACACAACTAGCTATATATAAACAGTTAAATTTTTTGAAAGAGTAGTGTTGATCAATGATATATCAACCTCACTTCAATAATTTAATTGTTATATAGGAAAATTATAAATGTAGAAATATGGACAGTTATATTATTCCAATTTTTTTTATTTAGGCTTATTTATTTTAGTATAATAAGAAGCAGCAATATCGGGAAAATTATAATGGTAGAAATACATACATTGAAAATTCGATTGTTTTCTTATTTATGTAATTTCCTAATCTCATAGTGAAGCTCCTGATGTAAAATATTAAGTGAAAATTTTACTGCACGAGTGTTTCTATGACTCGAAATATATTTGTTGTTTGATATCACTGGATTAAAAGTATGGATTGTGAGCTCATAATGGAGATTAAGCTAGCGAACTTAGAAGTTCAAGGTGTGATAAAGGTCCAATAATTAGAATTGCATACAAATCTTTCTAAACTATGGTACTCATGCATTTTTTTAGTAACTCGTGCATTCTTTAATTAACTGATATAATCGATCAATCTAGACTATGCAAGTATATACCACAAACCCTACATACTATATGCAGAATTATAACTCGCCCAATTATTGGAAAAAAATAATATAAAAAAGCTTGATATAACGATGATTGTTGACGACTTGACGTTGTACTTTCTCTACATTTTATAGGATAATTGAAATCTCTGGAGTCTAAAATCTATGATGCATAAAGTTGGATAAAGTAGGAGTTTCTGCTGAATTTGTAGATTTCACAGAATCATATGATCAAATTCCATTCTCCATTATTTTATTTCCATTTCCCAGAAGTTGCATTTTTATAACGCTAGAAAATATTGGGCCTTTTGCTGGTGGGCCCCCAACATGTTTCACGTATTGAATGTTTTGGTGCAGGATGAGTGGTCATGTCCAAAACAATGGTGGGCTCTAAGTGTCTCCGCCCGTTGAGTCATTTTGATGTTTCAGTCTCCGATTGCTCAAAACACTCTTTTTCATCAGCTGTAGGCTGTAGCCTGTAGGATCACTAATTTTACTGAACCTTGATCGTCCGTCATGTCGTCCATGGCCACAAAATCACATCCGAGAGTTAACCAGAAAGTTAAAAAAGAAAGAAAGAAAAAAATGATCGAGATTCCCTTCATAGTTTTTTCACTCCAAGTTCGGTGAATGCTTGCACCAGCATTCCCTTTTGCGCAGCTAAGTCCTTCCTGAACTATGGCGAGCTGCACCTCTGGCAGGAGGACCCTTCTTCTTCTTCAAGATCCCGGATCCCGCCCTTCTTCGCCACAACACACCCGACTCGAGCACCGGACATGTACGCTCTGCACGCCGCCCGCCATGATGTCGTTGGCCCGGCTGTGGAAATGGCCCCTCACCAAGTCCTCGAAGTGCTGCAAACGAGACGTGACACAGGTTTGGTTCCAGTTCTGCAATCAACCCATATATATATATATATACATACACGAGCACATATAAAAAACTGCCACATCAGCAATTGAAATGCTCTGAGCAATTTCCGAAAGGGCAATTCTGCCAATTTGTCCCAGCAGTTTCAATGAACGGAAAATTTAATTAGAACCCATAAAAGTAGAGAGGAGCCTGTTGATATGACTTGTAACCGTTTCCTTTGTCAGATTGAATTAGGTTTAGACCCACATGGAGAAGTACTATAAATACTTCTCATACTCCTCTGTAATCTGTAATCTCCTTGATATAGTGAAACTGGCTCTCTCTCGCCCGTGGACGTAGCTAACACACATCGTGTTAGTGAACCACGTAAATCGTGTGTCGTGTTTTTCGATTCTCGCTTTCGTATTCTTGCTTTGTCGATTCCTGCGATTTCCCGATCCGTAGCAGCGCGTTTATAACAAGTGGTATCAGAGCCGCGGCTGGAAATCAGGCTAGTGTTTTTTCGATTCAGAAGAATGACGTCGGTGAACATGAAGATCGAAAAGTTCACGGGGAAGAACAGCTTCGCTATATGGCAGATCAAGATGCAGGCTTTATTAAAACAGCAAGGGCTGTGGGGGCCGCTGTCTGCGAAATACAAGAAGGTAGCGGTCGATGACGATGAGTGGAACACCCTGGAGGAGAAGGCCCACTCGACCATCATATGCTATCGTTGTCTGATGACGTCATCATTGAAGTCGTTGCTGCGAAGACTGCCGCGGGCTTGTGGTTAAAGTTGGAGAGTCTGTATATGACGAAGTCCTTAACCAACAAGCTGCATCTCAAGCAACGGTTGTTCAGCTTGACGATGCAAGAAGGTACGCCTTTGAGGGAACATCTCGAACAGCTTAACTCTATTTTGCTGGATCTGCGTAATATAGATGTTCAAGTTGATGACGAGGATGCTGCCCTAATCCTGCTGGTTTCTTTGCCGAGTTCATATGAGAATTTCGTTGATTCTTTTATTGCTGGTAAAGAAAGCGTGTCGTTGGAGGATGTCAGGTTTGCTCTTCATACGAGAGAGATCAGGCATAAGACGTCTGGTTCTGGTACAGGTGGTGAGGCATCAGGTTTGGCTGTTACAAGTGGAAAGGGAAAGAAGAAATCTGGTAAAGGGAATTCGAACAAGAATTCCAAGGGTCCCGGTCCACAGCCAGGTGATGCTTGTCACAACTGTAAGGAAGTGGGGCATTGGATGTACAACTGTCCCAAGAGAAGAGGGCAACAGAAGAAACAAGGTTCAGTTGCCGTGGCAGAAGTGGACAACAGTTCTGAAGACGATCTCGCCTTGGCTGTAGATGAGAAGGCACATCGTGGGGATGTGTGGTTTCTGGATACTGTAGCCTCATACCATATGTCCCCGAACAGGGATTGCTTCACGACCTACGAGCAGATAGATGGTGGTAATGTGGTCATGGCAAATGGAGCTGTCTGCAAGGTTGTTGGAATCGGGTCCATAAAGGTTCGGGCACATGATGGTTCGTTCTGTACCGTGAATGATGTCAGGCATGTTCCACGAATGACAAAGAACCTGATCTCCTTGAGTCTACTCGACAGCAAGGGTTTCAGTTTCAAAGGAAAAGGTGGAGTTGTGTATGTCTGCAAAGGTTCAAGGAAGGTGCTGAAGGGCGTGAAGCGTGGGACCTTGTATGCATTATGACTAGACTCTACTGTCACCCTAGGAATTGGCCAAGTGAAACCACTTCCTAAAGCGTAGTATAGCGGGTTAGGTTTATATGTCAACCCGGGTCCTAGATTTGATGACTACTCAGTGAATTCTTGTTATCTAGCAATGAAACTGGAATGCAAGTCTAACTAACAAACTAACAAAGCACGTAAACGGTTGTATTCAGGTTAAGAGAGGTCACCCGGATATGGTTCCCCCTAGACTGCAGTTAAGCCAGATTGTAATTACCAAGTTCAGTTTCTATGAAAGTTATACTGCGGAAGGTTCTTAAACAGTCTGAAGTCTCGACTAAAGTTCTTCAGACCCTCTCAATCTGAATCTCTAGCGGGCGACTAACCTCCACCGGAGTAAACATATTGAGGCCTTAACAAACAAAACCTCCACTACCGGAGTAAATCCGGTACAGAATAGTGAGTTGGTTCCTCGACTAAAGTCACCAACTCCCTATCTTCAATCAAGGATACTCTATTAACCTAGGCAGATATTCTCATTCTAGGTTAAAGCAGAAACAACAGGAATTTGATCAGGATTCAAGTCATTCAATCATTCAAGCCTCAATCAAATGTAATCAATCGTAGAATCAGTACTTGGGTTCATACAATCAAAACCTAACATACAAATCTAGGGTTCTCCATACCCAGATGAATGGGAGAACTACTCCATGGAGAAAGAAGCAAAAGCAGAATCAGATGCGGAATTCATACTGTGAAGGATGGATTCCTGCTCCTGGGTGTTGATCGGCACTTCTCCAAGCTCAAGCTGGCCTCCAATGGTGTTGAAGATCAATCTAGGGCACTTGGAGACTCTTGTTCGTCGCTTTCTCTCTCTAGGAATCGTTCTCTCTCTCCAAAACTCGAATCCCTTGATTTCCAGCCCTCTTTTCCCTTAAAACAGCTGCCTGTCGCGATACCCGGTCGAAATACCCGGTCGGGTATTTTGGGTCTCGACCGGGTATTATCAAAACGCACGTTTCAAGCCACGGGAAAATCCCCGGTCTGCTCCAATAATCCCCGGTCGGGGATTTAAGCTTCACGACCGGGGCCCCCTCTGTTTCTCAGACGCCAAAGAGGGACTTCCCCGGTCTCCTCAGAATAATACCCGGCCGGGTATTTCTGGTTATGGCCGGGTATTTCCTTCCTTCAGCCCGCTTCAAGCCTCACTTGCTCCTTTCGACCCGAATCTCGTTCCTTCGCCTCGATTCCAACGCCGGGTCCTGAAATATGACATAAACACACAACCTCGCGTGAAATCGGCTTAAAACCTGAGAATCAACCTCTCAAACGGCTCAAGAATAGGGATGAAAATACGTGTAATTATCGGTCTATCACATTACAAGGGTCTGTGTTGTCTGGTTCTGCTGCAGTTGCATCGTCTCAGGTTCATCAGGAAGATATGACCACTCTCTGGCACATGAGACTGGGGCATATGAGTGAACGAGGGATGCAAGTTCTGTCGAAGAGGGATCTTCTTTGCGGGCACAAGGTGCAGAATTTGGAATTCTGTGAGCATTGTGTGTTTGGGAAAGTGGCCGGAAAGTGGCCGGAAAACCGCCAGAAAGTTGACCGGTGGCGGCGGCGGCGGAGGGTGGCGGCCGACGGCTCGCAGAGTAGAGAGGGGAGAGGATTGGAGAGGAAGAGAGGGGGGGAAATTTGAAAAAATGAGGGTAGAGAGAGAAAATGGCCGGGGGTTTGCTATATATAGCAAAAATACCCGGTCGGGCCTCCAAAATACCCGGTCGGGTATGTTTGATTACACGACCGGGTTTTCAAAACGCGGCGTGTCAAGTGCAAGGGAATCCCCGGCCTTGAGCCAAAAATACCCGGCCGGGTATTTTTGGGTCAAGGTCGGGGGTTCTGAAACGCAGCGTTCTGATCTGAGGAAAATCCCCGGCCGTGAATCAAAAATACCCGGTCGGGTATTTTTGAGACCAGGTCGGGTTTTTCCTTTTTTTCACCCTGAGAAACAGAAGGGGGCCCGACCGTGAGCCAATAATACCCGACCGGGTATTTTGGCCCATGGCCGGGTATTTGCCCCCTTCCGGCCAAAAAACTCATTCGCCCAAATTTTTGACCTCTCCTGCACGACAGCACCAAATCGAGGCATAACAACTGACCGAACTTCACCACAGACATGCAACTGACTCAAGACAACACAAAAACTCAGAAAAAGGGATAAAGAAATGCAAACCGTGGTGGGGTTGCCTCCCCACAAGCGCTTCTTTACCGTCTTTTAGCTGGACGCCAATTGCGGAACTAAGGGTCCGCGAGCTCCACTGCTAACTCCGCACGTTCGACCTCGTCTCCCAGGTAGAGCTTGAGACGATGGCCATTCACTTTAAACGGCTCAGTTTGCGGGTTAGCAATCTCAATCGTGCCATACGGGAACACCTGTGTGACCGTGTACGGTCCAGACCACCCGGAACGGAGTTTTCCGGGAAAGAGTTTCAGGCCAGAGTTATAAAGGAGAACTCGATCACCAACCTGGAACTCTTTCGGACCCCGCAACCGTGCATCGTGGAGACGCTTCGTGCGCTCCTTATACAGCTTGGTGTTCTCATAGGCGTGATAACGCCACTCTTCCAGCTCCAACATCTGCATTTTTTGCTCAACACCTGCAACACTAACATCCAAGTTTAGCAGCTTAAGGGCCCAGAAGGCCTTGTGCTCTAGCTCCACGGGAAGATGACATGCCTTTCCATAGACAAGCCGGTACGGTGAGGTACCAATGGGCGTCTTGTAGGCAGTGGGATATGCCCATAGAGCATCATCGAGCTTGGTGGACCAATCCTTGCGGGATAGATTCACCGTCTTCTCCAAGATCCGCTTGAGCTCCCGGTTCGTCAGCTCGGCCTGGCCACTGGTTTGAGGATGGTAGGCCACGGACACCTTATGAGTTACACCATAGCGAGACAATAATTTATCGAACTGACCCTGGAAATGGGTGCCTCGGTCGCTTATGATGGCTCTAGGTGTCCCGAACCGGGAGAATAGCTGGTTCAGAAAACCACAAACACGTCTAGCATCATTAGTGGGCAAAGCTTGCGTCTCAGCCCACCTAGAGACGTAGTCAACAGCAATAAGGATATATGTATTACCAAAGGATGGAGGGAAGGGGCCCATGAAGTCGATACCCCAGACATAAAAAATCTCACAAGTAATAAACACATTCTGGGGCATCTCATCACGGGCAGAGATGTTACCTGACCTCTGGCATCGGTCGCACCTGCGTGCGAAGGCGTCTGCGTCCTTGAAGAGCGTGGGCCAGTAGAAGCCCGACTGGTGCACCTTCCTTGCCGTGCGGTTTCCTCCGTGGTGACCGCCAGCAGGTCCTTCATGACAGTGAGATAGAATGCCCTCCATCTCACTCTCCATAACACATCGACGGATGATCCCGTCGGCTCCGATCCTGAAGAGATGGGGGTCATCCCAGAAGTAGTAC